TCTGTTTTAAAAACGCCAAACAAAACGACAGCGCAGCACAGTTAATTGGTGTATATTGAATGTCCTGCCTATCCAGTTTTGTGGCCATCTTTTCTCCCTGTTCGGCTGGCTGAGTGGCTGTTTGTCAACTACACTCTCAATACTTCTTTCACTCCATCAAACTGATGAGCGTGTACAGGCTATAATCAGGAACTCCCTTCTGTTTTAACAGACCTGCCAAACTCCTTCATGAGGGGAAGGAGTGCTGTTGAAAGTGACGTGTAGTTATTTACTGGCTGGAGGGAATGAGTGTTTAAAGGTTTCAGTCTCCTGGTATTAAACAAAAGGCCTGTGGATTAAACAGTTGGGTCATGATGACATGAAAGATGGCCACACTCTTATCAACGTGAATGTATAGTTTTGCAATTGGATGAGAGGAGAAAGTGACAGTGCTGACGTCAAAGCCTGAGATTGTTCCTTCAGATTAAGATTGTGAGTAATGTGTGCACATGTTGCTGCTATGGTTTTTTTAACCAAGCAAATCAACAAAGACCACACTCCAATTAATATCTGTACCAAGAGGGTATGGAAAAAAGGTGTTTGTGTATTTGTGCTAGTGGAGATTGATGGAAGGTGCTCAGTCCAGCCACAGCCACAGCCACAGTCACAGTCAGAAACTGTGGTTATTTTTTGTGTGTAACTTGTGTTCACATCATTATCATGTGAGTGTAACAGTATGTGAAAAGTCAGTCGGTGCAACATGAGCTACTCCCTTTCCCTACCTCCTCCTTCACTCACATGATCTCACTATGGCTGCACGAATACTTGCAGATCACCAAGACCCCGACCTTTGCATTGCAACTCGCTTCTAACATTGCTGTGAACTCATGCTGCACGGTATCCTGCGAACATGTACTCAGAAGTGTCGACTAAATGTCTGAAAGGTTAACGTAAGGGTCTGATTTTGCACAGGTAGAGCCGTTTGTCTCTGGCCTCTTAGTCGGTATGGCCAATGTCAATTAGCCTGCAGCATAATCAGTGTTGATTCAACCACGTTAATAGCTTATCCCCGACCATGCCTCACTGCCTTGCTTGATCATAACGCACACAGTCCATACCATCCCCCCTCCTTGGTGGTGCTTCCCTCTTTCCTGGGTCATACACACACTTACTCACACACCAGTAGTTTCACTACTACTGTAGTTAGGTGCTTTAGATGTCCTTACATGAAGGGCAGAGTGTAGTGAGCTGCTTAATGTAAACATGATGCATGCAGCCTGATGTGTGTGATTGGAGTCTCCCTATTGCACATGGCTAATTGTTGTTTTGCTAGCACGCTGTAGGTACATACTGTCCTCCTGCTGTTATTAGTTGTTCATTCTGTCTTGGCCTTTGTATTAAAGAGTGTCAGAATGTCTCCTTGACTTCAACATGAGTCTGAGCAGAGAGCTTCCTCTTCTGTCTGACAATGACACATTTCCTTGCAGAAGCCATGGATTCAGTCTGCTCTTCGCAGACTCAACCAGAGCTTAAAATAACCTCCAGTTTGATTTAACCCTTTGGGGGGTCACTGCTACTGCTAATGGGATACACACTCAATCAGGATTGACAAGCCAGCTGCTACGGTGCGGCATGGAAAACAGAGTTTTATCCCATGTTCTGCACCCTCTGTCTCTAATGTGCTCTGTCAGTCTTGTATTCTCATTTTGTGATTTTCATCCCCTTTCTTTTCCTCCTATTTATTTTCTCTTTAAGTCTCTCTCTCTCTCTCTCTCTGCTTCAATTTGATTTCCTCTGCCTCTTCCCTCTGCTCACATGAAAGGGAAATAATTTCCCTATGATGATTTTGTGTGAGAGTGGAGATCAAAAATAATCAGAGCGAGCGTACATTATATGCTCGTAGCTGTGATGTTGGATTTGCCAAGTAATACACTGACTAAAAACATTCTGTAGGGTTTGTTAATATATGTCTGTAACTGAAGTATTAATTTCTCCTGTGATAGACGATTTGGATAAAAAGGCGAATCACATTAAAACAGAGTTGAACAGCTGGGTCAGGTTCCTTTTTTTTCTTTTCTGTTTTTGGAGTAACAAGATTCTTGCATCCCATTAGAGTGTATGTAATGAGAATCTGGTGTTATTAATCTTACAATGTAGTTGGCATCCAAGCATCTGTACACTCAAATGTTTACAGAATCTACATGATCTGCAGTCTGCTGCATGGAGAGGGTTAGATTCTGCTAAAATCTGAGAGCATCTGCCTTTTGATAGATCAAGAGTCCTGCACAGGTGTGATTTTCGAGACCTGCTCTCGAACAGGAATATGACCAGTTAGTTCCGCAATCTGACCTGACCCACTGACACAAGATCTGCGGCCCGACCCGAAACTGCAAATCCCATAATAACGATGCTCTGTTCAAACAATTTGGTGAGGCAGCGTGTGTAATGTGATCAATTTTAGACATTTCATACATGTGAAACTAAGATATGATATTTCAAATTAAAGGTAATTAAAAAATACAATTCTAAATCAATATCTTTTGCTTTTTCTTATAAAATTGAGCAGCACATCTCAACAGTAAAGGTGCCTGTTGGTAACGCACTTGATTGAAGTGGCTCTCATACTCCAGGGTGGCCTAAAAGACACAGCGGACATACAGAGTCAGCAGAGTAGTGACAAATTCCCACCCGTCAATCACCTTTTTTCACAACCTAATGCAGGACTCTGCCACAGATCACTAACATGCAAATTAAATGGTCAGAAATAAATAGCCCTAATAATGAAAATTAGGTTCTTCAATGAAGACGCGTTCAACGAAATATCAAATGGTTGTGACCTTAGTGTAAGTTGCTTGACAAAAGCACATCTCAGTTAAAGGCGCTGTATGTAAGCATGTGGCCAAAATGGTTACTGCACTCAAATTCAAAATACTGCCACGAGTCATGTCCACCCCCCTTCCCTACAGATTCGAGGTTGCTGGACAGCGGCACGCTGGAGACTGATTTGTCTGCCCACGGGCGGCTGCTGTGGCAGGGCTGCGTCGCCGCGTCCTTGATCTTCGGTTTTCCAGCGGACCGTTCGAGCAAGTCCGGTTTCTCTGCTGCTAATGCTGCTGCCAGGATACAGCTGAGGAGGAGTCGGCTGCTAATGCTATGTACCAGGACACTGCTAATGCTGCTTGCCATGCTGCTGTAGCTCAGTCGTAACTGTAACTGATGCTGAGACTCTACTGACTGCGTGACTGGTAGACAGCGGTGGGTGGCGCAACAGGCCAAAACACAAATTCAAAACATAAACATGATTTGCGGACTGTAAAAATGTTTTTTAAATGCGAATATTCTGGCTGTACTATTGTTGTCTGTGAGGTCAGTATGTTATATGAACATTATTCCTTAGTCTCTGTGACATATTAGAATGATTTTACGAGTATTTGCTTTAGATTTCTTACATATAGCTCCTTTAAGTGACCTGCACATGCCTTGTCAGAGTGCTTCTCTCTGATTGGCTGGAGAATTTGCTTATTTGGATTAATGTAGCCACTCTTGTCAATCTGAGCATTCTCACATGATTTTATGTGAGATTAGGGTTGGGTCGATAGTAGTCAGTCACTGACCACTGAGGCCACCATTGTGATTTTGATCTCAGTCCTTGTGTCTCTGTCCTTGTGTCACTCCTTGGTCCTGATGTGAATTGTGAGATTCACCCCCCACCCCAACAGGTGGACATTGCCCAATTCTGTATGTAAATTATGAAGAAGATAACTACATCTTTATGACACTAAAGTAAGTTAAATCAAAAATTGACTGCTATAAACCAAGCTGTTTTTATATGTTTTTTTGATTCTCGTTCTAATGTTGAAACCAAGCTGCAACCACCAGGGCTGAAAAATGAAGCCAACGTCTAAGTGCAAAAAACTGCAGTTCCTCGAATGGCCACTTGAAACTGGCTCCAAAAGCCTGGTTCAAAAATTGGTGTTGATGTCTATAACTAATTTCCCTCACTCATGACAACTAAGCCTGGGGTGAATTGTTCTATAACTCACCTGTGTACATTTTATAAAGGCTTAAAGTTAGGCATAATTAACGGTGGATAATCAAAGTTATGGATAAAGGTCGTGGCTGCTTTGAGTGACAGGCTGTCTAAGGATAGTGTCCCATCCCTTGTTCCTCCACAGCGCCAGCCGCTCACCCAAATATAGTTACTTCTGGATGGGGACGGTCAAAATGCCAAACTTGAGGCTTCAAATGGGAGTCCGCAAACCAGTGTGTGGCGTCAAGGTGGCTACGTCCATTATTTTTATACAGTTTATAGGAGAAACGGGGCCAACACACATAGTACATTTGGTTTTGTCAGCAGCAGTGTAGGTGGTAACATAAACTTCAAGAATGTTAGGCGCTCTTTGTAAGGAGATGGACTATTTTTCTGTGTGGGGACTTGTGTTTAATGTCCAGGGCTATTAGAGAGTGACAGGAGGAGAAAGGCCAGCATGTCTCTGTAGCATGAGTGAATATGATTGGCTGGCTTATGTGAGCATGCGTGATTTTTTTTGTTTGGGATTCACTGGCCCGCATACTTCACATTCAGTCTGAGGACATTACTTCAATGTGCGGAATAACAAATTGGCGTGAAGCTATCGATTGTCATTGAAAGTAAGGCTCCAGGACTCAGGGTCATAACAGAATCCAAGTGTAATTTTCCTGCATTGATTTGTTTTCATTATCTGTCTGAAGCTATCATCTCTTCCTTTAGTTTTCATAACTCTGTATGATATCAGAGAATGATGTTGGTTAGGAGAGAGGAAAAAGGTCAGACTCTGCTCGTGTCCTTGTCATCCCTGCAACAAAATATGTGAAGATGTGTTACACTACAAACAACTGCGGCTGAATCACCATTTCGGAGAGGCCAAATTGTTAGTGATCTTGAATATTATTCAAGAATGGTTCATTATTGTAGTCCCTCAGGTTGTGTTTGTTTATCTGTACGCAGTCACATGAAAACGTTGTCCTTAACAGCCTTACAGCATTGAGAGCAAGCATGAAGTCACCATCCTCAGCGGACTCAATGAATTTGTAGTGAAGTTTTTCGGACCACAAGGAAGTAAGTGCTCTTTTTTCCTGTTTCCCTTACCCTGACACATTAAACAAGTTTCCTAATTTGTTGCTAAATCCTCATTCGGGCTAATTAATGTGCTCCAGAAAATGTAGGATTTAGGGTGTGTTTTCATCCAGGGTCCAAGAAATATAAAGCAAATTAAGGAAAGAATATTTGTGTGTCCAAAAACTTAATACCTCTTCACTGATCATTTCTAAGATTGGCTGTAAAACCAGAATCACGTTGCTGTTGAAACTAGTAATTTTTCTCCTTGGTATTTGGGATCAGTAGGACCCGATAAGATAAAAAAAAAAAACGTAACACTGTCAATGATAATTAAGTCCCACTGTCCTCAAATGAGTATGTCCATATTCCATATCAAACTACATACATTATTAATCATAAATAAACACTTCCTCTCAATAGTCAAATTTGATCGTCTTCTCTGTGCTCCGCCAACACAACCAGATGGGACAAAAAAGTGTCCACGAACGAAGACAACAGTTCTAAGTTAAGTAGAATGAAGTATAAGGTCAAGTAAACCCAAGATTAGATGTCCTCATATGAGGACACAGGGTCTCAGGAGGATATAATACATCTCCAAGCATGTCAAAAAAGTCAAAGAGCACAGCCCTGCTCCTTAGATATTACAGATGTAAATCAAATCACAATGTTTGTTTACAATAACATGAAGATAGAAGCCCCCTGCGTCACATACATAACATGAAACCTCACTGAACAAACACTGCCCTAATTGGTTAGTTTTTAGCCACCTAAAAAAGGGCCCACCTAAAAAATCATTATCAGTTAAAGTGTATGCTATGTTTAGAAGATTTTCACGCCCTTTCCAGCAGGGAACTGAAGCCATTATCTCAAAGCCACCAGACTCCTTTGACAAAACCACTTATTTTACTATACAGAACATGAGAGCGCTGGTCTACCAGTATCTCCATCAGTTAGTTTGTAAGGTGAAGCGGTGAAAGTATTCCAAATATAGCGTACACTTGAACTGATACTGATTTTTCTAGGTGGCTAAAATACAACCCCTGCTCACAGAAGTATGTTGCTATGCTTCCAGCAAAGAACACTGTACATAAGCAGCAGAACACAGCAGAAACATGAAATCGTTCAGCTAGCTGTGATTAACTATATATCTTATACATTACGGTTAGGGCTGAAATTGCCAGTTGTCTGCGTGGAACGAATTGTTGTTGTTAGTGATGTCATTGTGATTCGGTCTGTAAAACATAACTGAGGCACAAACTGCTTTTAACACATCATCAACGTAAAGCGCCCTTCGACTGTGTTGGGACGCATTTAACACAAACTGAGCCAGGTGACACACTTGTATCCGATCTTGAAGTCTACGTTCATCAGACATGGAAAACAAATCAGGACATTCTGCAGACCTTTCAAGGAAAGCACTACATCTAAGATTGTGATATTTAGGACAATAGAACAAAAAATGCATTTCATTTTCGACCTCTCAGGTCACACGGGCGACACTTACTATTCTCCTCTGGAATTAATTTGAAGCCCAGTTTCCACCGCCAGAGGCAAGATACCAAATCTCAGCAAGGCAAGGACAGACCTCTGTGCTGTGGTCAGGTTATAGTGACACAGTGCTTGAGTAACCCAAAAATTCCTCACAGCATTTCTGTTTTTAATTTTCATATCGCATTGTTTAATTTGATTAACACCACAAGATAATTTATCACTGTCTATATGTACATTGGAGTCCAGCCTTGCCAAATATTTGTGCAAGCTCCCTTGCCCAAGAATAATTGGGGGGGGGCTGTTATAGGGTATGTTGATTAATTTATTTCTCAGTTGCCACATGCCACCCTAATGCCGCACGTTACACGGCTCCCATCTCATGTCACCACATACTGCAAGTTTGCGGTGTAAAGAGAAGTTCGTCACAGCAGGCCAGGAACGTAAAATGAATTGAAACCAGGCCTGAGGCCACAGAGTGTAAAACAGAGGAGCCAGGCTCGAGGGGAATTTGGATGAGGAGAGTGGCCTCATCAGCAGGAAATACTTCTTTCGTGTGCTGCTCGCAACATCTGTCGCACTAAAACCACCGCCACTTACGCATCAGTAAAGAGAGGAAGTGGGTGTTTGACCCTGTTTATGATGCCTCGTAACCGTGCCAAATAAAACGGCACTGTTGTCTGCCCACATGTGTGTGTGTGCACATGCCCACCACCATTCATCCTCAACAAGTGTGTTTTCAGCCATCTATGTGCTGTTCGGTTTCAGCGCGGCACATAAGGGTCCCGTTACACACAGCTTCTCTGGGAGAGCACCACACACTCACACAATCTCATTCTCGTCATCTTTGATGTCAGTGTATTATATGAAGTGATTTGGAAGTAAAGAATTCCCCTGGGCTGAAATACATTACTGCGTAAGATAAAAGAAAATGGCAAAGGGAAGTGGTATGTGTGTAGCTCATTTCTCAAGTGGCCCGCTCTCTGTTGTGTTTCTGAGAGCGGAGAAAGGAGTGCAGAAAATTGATAGAACCCTACAGTGTCTAAATGCATTGGAGTACATAAAGGATGAAATATGATGTTCAATGGAATGAAAGTCTCTCCACAGTGTTCCCTCATTATTTTTCTGTGTCCCCTCCTCATACACAGCACCGTATGAGGGAGGCGTGTGGAAGGTGCGAGTAGATCTTCCTGACAAATATCCTTTCAAATCACCATCAATAGGTAGGAGTGCTACTATCGAATGAGAGATTGTAAGATCACATTTTCTCTTCGCTTTGTTAGCACTGTCCTCATTTGTACTTTCTGCTCTTTCAGGATTCATGAACAAGATTTTTCATCCCAATATTGACGAAGCGTAAGTTGATTTCAGTCATGTTTCTGGAGTGTCTATTGTTTCTTGTGTTTTAAAGCTGCTCTAATGATATTTGTTGTTGCTGCTCTGTCATATTATAAACTTAAAACATAAGTTGAAATCATTAATATTTTCTTATACTTTCTATATTGCTTTTTCATGTTTTCAGTAAAACATGATCCACTTATGTTGTGAACTACACTTTCAACTTTTATATGAGCTATAAATGAGCAGCAAATTACACAGATATTGAACCTGGCCGAGCTCTTTGTATCTCTCAGCCCAGTAATCCACCGCTTAGAGGCCAGGTCCTCTGAAGGACACGGTCTGTGAAGGTTGGTCTCCCCAAATAGGACTCGTCTCACAAAGACATTTTCTCACAAAAATAAGGCTGCATTCAGGCAGTACTTAGCAAAATGTTTTACATTCATCACCAGGAAACTGACAGAGTGTAAATACCACTGGTAAACTGGAGCATTTTCCACATTAACTGTATTTACAGTGAGTGCGTTTACATGGAAAAGAATAACCCGTTTATGATTGGGTTTTTGGAGTTTCCCATTTATGTGTTTGAGTATGTAAACACCATATTACGTTTATGAACCCAAGTATGCCAGCTGGAGTGCTCTGAAAGAAATCAGAATGTATACAGGGACTATGAATAACCAGGTTTCTCTGTGCTCATGTAAACACCATCCTGAATATGATCAGGATAAGCCTCATAAACAGGTTATGTCCATGGAATCTTACTCAGAGATGGGACATTTTTTGCCTTTCTGATACCTGAACTTGTGTATCAGCTGATATCAAGCACCAATCTGATACAATTGTGTTGGGATTTTTCTTTAATAGCTGTATACCTCTGACCATGTATGGATGTGAAATAATTGTTATCATTTTTGTATGGTATGGCTCAGGTTATATCCTTGAAAACATTAACAGTTGATTGAATGCCACAGACCTTTTATCTAATTTGACTGTCAAAAAACATGACATATTATAATATAAAACAAGATTTAAATAATACAGCAACAGTTTTAAACAGTAGTGCAATAGCAATTTGACCAATTCGAAATCAGTTCTTTCTGCTGCTCTAAAACAGTAGTTGCCAGTGGCTGCAGAGCGCAACTTGCTGTGTCGGCTTCTGTTTTAGAGCAGCGAAGAAATATAGACATCCTGGAAAACTGCTGTTTTATCCAGGTGTGAAACCACATAAAAGTTTATGAATAAATTAGGTGGTATCTAATCGGTGTATAGACTTGCACACTTGCATTTAAGGCACTATTGAAGGTGTTTCTGATAGTTTTGGAACAAATCTATTTTTACAGTACAAGTAGTGACATTTGAATTCAACACACAACGACAACAGTTATGTTATGCATTAGGTAAATAGGGGTGTTATGATAAATATATCTGGATTGACACATCGATGTAATCATAAATATTCCAGTATCATGGATGCAAGGTAAAAACAGCTATATATGTGAGCATCTTTAGGATATGCTTTTATTTTGAAATTCCCATGGCACATCTCTGTCACCATTTCCATCCCAGCACACCTTCTTGCTAAACATTCAAACAGTGCTAGTGGCCCAGTGCCAGTCAGACAATGGTAAGCAGCCAAAAAGAAGACAATAAGTATATTTACTTATATTGTCTAATGTCGATCGCAGGCCTCTGAATTGAATTGAAATCGTATCATGGAAGAATTTGTGATATCAACACACTGTGTGTCGTTGTCCAAACAATCAATATAATATTGTATCATGATTAAACTTGAGGTTTACACCCCTGTAGATAAATGGTAAATGTGAATTTAAGTCCAAGAGTAAAAAGTGGAGTTTATGTCCAGCTGCCATCATTTCTAGCTTTGTCTTCGGTCTCTTTAAAGGAGCAATGTGTAATATTTAGCAGGACATATTGGCAGAAATGGAAAAGAATATTCAAAACTATGTCTTCATTAGATAATCCCCTCATAGTAAGATTTATTGTGTTTTCATTACCTTAGAATGAGCTGTTTATGTCAATGTGCGAAGCGGGTCTTCTCCCATGGAATCTGCCATGTTGTTCTACAGTAGCACAGAAGGGACAAATCAAACACTGGCTCTAGACAGCTCCATTTGCCATTTTCTCCTACACACTTGGCACATGGGAGACGTTTCTATTTGCATCCAACTGAATATTCCTCCCTGTATAAGCATGTAGAAGAGCCCATGGTGGCCTTCATGTAACGTAGAAACACAAAAGGCCCTCTCAAAATTCAGTGTTTGGTTTGTCTCTTCTGGGCTACTGTAGAAACATGGCAGACTCTGTGGAAGAGGACTTGCTCCTTATGCAGATATGAAGTTCTTATTCTATGCTAGCAAAAACATGATTCTTAGTTTGAGGTGATTGTACGCTAATGAAAATTAATATTAAATCCATTACTGCCAATAGATCTCCCTGAATCCTACACACTGCTCCTTTAAAGTAACATGACCAGTGACTGATAACCATGTAATTGCACCTACCTGGCATGTTTGACCTGGTCACATGATATTCTACAACATGTCAAGAGTCTCCTGAACTCTCCTTTAAACCATTGACTGCCACACAAGTGATAAGGGATTGACATACGCGGTGGAGAAAAGTGGGCTTGAAGGGATCCAGCCGCTGAGCTGTGACACACATTGCACACAGATCCGCTCTTCCCTCCCTTTGGCCTTTCCCCTCTAACTCTGCTTTCTTCTCGGTTTCCCAGGTCAGGGACAGTGTGCTTAGATGTCATCAACCAGACATGGACAGCCCTTTATGGTGAGTGGCCCAACAACTGCGTACATGTCCATATTAAGTTTCCCCACCGGGGGTCTGTGTGATTATGTGCGAAGAACTTGACACAGTGCCATCGACACCAAAAAGGTGACTGCAGCGCGAGGCCCCCCTTGCTAGCAAGCGTGGCCACATTAGGCAGTGGAGCACAATTGGCCCTAATCTACTTAGCGAGGGGAGAAGTGAACACTAACGAGGTAATACCCTCACCCAGCAAGGTCAGAAAACATTCCCCTTCGACAGGAATGATTTACTGTCTGTCAGCTGTGAGAGACAGGGACACCCTCACATGATTGTACTTGATGTTTGTCGCCCAGTTGCTCTTTTCACAGTCCTGTGTGTCCCTGTGCCCTTCTCCCTATTTCCCTATTAATTTCTCATTACAGCCCCTCCACAGGGCTAAGATAGCTGATGAGCAATATAAATGGCTGTATAGTAATATCCCTAGCAGATGTTTCAGCATCCCTCCCTATTTATTTTCACTGGTGTTCTGGGTATGACTCCGAGGCGAATGTTGAAACCTTGAATGGTATTTAAGCAACTTGATTCAACTCTGGTTCCAGTGTTTTGTTATGAAGAAGGACATGCATGCTAGTTAATGCCAAGTGAGGTAGCCTGGCCTGTTTTTCCTCTAAATCAAATTACATGCATCACTATTATTATTTTACCTTTGTTTGTTCTCACGTAAAATGCAGCAGATTCTGTTGAGTGTTTGAAAAAAGAACATCAGATTGGACAAACATGGAAAGAATGGACCAATCAACTAAGCCTTGTCTGCTAAGATTCTCTACAAAGTAAGAAGAAACAAAACCAACTGATTAAATCCCCTAAACACGATAACACTGCACAATAGTCTGTAAGAAAATGTTTGTTTTCCCAACTTGAACGGACCCAGCAGTGACACCCAGGAGACGAGAGCAGAACTGCAGGTTTTTCCACTAGGCCTCAGCTCTGAGAGAAAGCTGAGGCCTGCTAGCAGAGAGCTAGTGAAAGGGATTAGTGTAGTTGTAGCTTCTGTGAGGCTATCAGGGGAAGGATTTCACATTTGTGTTTCTGTCTGCAAGCATATACACCTTCCATCTTTGATCCTTTTGTGTGGTCATCACTGACTGATGTGTGTGTAAAATGATTGGAGCTTCCCTGGAAGCAGTTTTATATAATTGGCACAATATTGGGTGAGCGTTTCTCCATCAGGTTCCATCAGATTAATGGTGAAATTGACAGTAACTGCTTTTAAATGACTGCCAGATTATGTAAGTGTCTGATCACTCATTTCTTGCAGCTGACAGAGGAGTAATGTGTTGCCTTTTGTTTCCCCAGACCTGACCAATATCTTTGAGTCGTTCCTGCCTCAGCTGCTGGCTTACCCAAACCCCATCGACCCCCTGAATGGAGACGCAGCTGCCATGTACCTTCACCGGCCAGAGGAGTACAAGCAGAAAATCAAAGGTTCAGATTAATCAAAATCTGTTGGGTGTAGATCCCTTTAGATTCTTAGGGGCGTTTTCACACCTATAGATGTTTGCTGTGGTCATGTTTAGTGACCAGATTGTTCCAGTGTTTCACTTTGACTCAAGATTGGTTTGTGTTCACACCACAGCATTCACAAGCAGACCAAAATTGTGCATGAACTAGGAAACTGTTCTCTGACTGGTCAGAATTTCCATGTGGGTAAACTCCTAGAAGTAAAACCAAGAGTAAAATAAGAGCAGACTCCTGTTCTGTTCCAGAAATAGATTAAATGCATCACTTTCCAATTTTACAATAGAGGGACAACTGTGTGGGCTGATCATGGCCCTGATCATCGTTTGCTTTTATCACTTAAGGCAAGCGATACAACCTTTCGCTAAGCCCTGCTTCTTGATGATCTGTTAAGCTGTCGGAGTAAGCATGGAGCCCACACTGTCACTAACTGCACTCCCTGAGAAAACATTATCATATTTTTGGAAAAAATAAACAGTGATTCCAGAGAGAAGCAGACAGAGGGGTCTACAGTCCATGTTTGAAGGATATATCCAGGATGTCAAACTGACTCAGCAGCAACAACAGGTTAAAAAGACAAAGATAGTTAGAAGCTAAAGCCGAACTATAGGCTACAGATCACAGTGTAAAAGTGAACCACCACATCACTGCTGATCGCCACAGAAGACAATGAATATAAAGGGAAACTTTGCTGATATTGAACCAGCTGTGTGGCATCGCAGTGTGTGCAGACATCTGTTTGATTTTGGTTTTGGAACAGGGAAGAAACGTATATCTTTTTCCAACCTCTCCAGGTAAAGTGTATCATTAATACACGACGTGCCCCAGGCACAACATTTAGCTCCACATCCACAAAACCAGCCTGAAAATGAAGGAAATCTGAAACGATTGCATTAGAGTCAATGGAGCACAGCTGTGTTGTTGTCGGGACCTGGTCTGAGCCAGCCCGACACTACGTTATCATTGGCCAGTCTGCGTCCAGGGGCGTGACTTAGCGAAGGGTCAGTTTGAAAATTAGGTGCTGGGGCCTGTACCACGAAGCAGGATTAATGTCTTAGCAAGGTAACTTCAGGGTTAACCCTGGGTTTTCGGTCTCACGAAGCCGGTTCAGTTCTTATCGGGGTAGATCACCATGGTAACTTACTCTGAACGGCTATCCTGCTCTGGAGCAGGGTAAGTTCAGGGTTGAATCTGATCCTATAAAAAGCACCACCCACTGGCCAATCAGCTGTTCGGAAAAAAATGACTCCGCTGACAGAAATGCAGCCCAGTCATGACGGGAAGTTTAATTTATTTGATTGATTTTGATTTGAAAGTTTATTTTGAACATTTAAAAAGAAAAGAAAGCAACAACAGACAATGAAAAGATTGTTCAAAAAGGAGTGGAAAGAAGTCGAAATTTCATCCCACCCCTTCATAAGAAAGAAACTGATAATTTGCGGACACTTAATAGCACCATTAATTAGTGCCAATGTTTTTTTTATTCGGAGGAAATGATCCCTGTTAAAGATAATGGGCCTAATTGACAGCTTTGCTGCTGGAAATGTGGAAAGTAGCCTATCATGTCTACACTTCATGGTGTTTGAGGGATTTTCCTTTTTGTTTTTTAAAGAGGGAGACTAGGTATATTTTTGCGCAGCTGTTAATTTCTAACACAGCTCAGTATCAGGATGATTTTATTCAGATGATCAATTTGGTGTTGATATGATTTAATTGTGACGTCAGCTTTAAGCTTTATTGTAGCATATATAACGTTATGACAAAGAAGACCAATTTATCAGACGCAGTGATGTTAGACGATAATTGTAATACACGCAATTCATCTGCGCAGCATTGATTTCATGGGGTTCAAGGGTGTGATCAGTGTCAGATGTACAGGTACAGGTACTGTAGCTACTTGAACCAGTGATGAGTAATTTAACCTACACATCATTTTATTTGCTACCTTGTTTTGTCTTGATTTTTCCCTCTCTCCTCCTCTATTTCTTCTTTCCTAACCTGTTTTTGTTTCTTCTCTATTATGTGATTTCATTGATGTTTTGACATGGGAATTTCTTTGATAAGCTTTTAGCGGCTTCTAACCTCTCCGGCACTTTTCTTTTTTTAATCTTGTAAATTTTATACTGTCTGTTTTTAACATTATGTGCAAATAAACTAATCTAAACTAAAACTAAACATTATTCATCCCGTTATGCGTTGCCACGCATGTTTCCTCCTCTTGCAGCTGCCACGGTGTTGGCCTTTTCTGTAATGTTGCTTTTCTCCTCCTCATATTTTAGTAGAATTAATCTCTGATCGTCACGAGAAATACTTTTTTCCCCTCACATACGGCACTCTGTGAGGACGCTCAGTGACGCTGCGCTTCTCTCATGATTGTGATTGGTCCGCTGCGTGCGCGTTCACGACTCTTGATAAAGCAACACTGGGTCGAGTTACCGAGTTGATATCCAGCATTGTGATACCAATTATCCTGATTGCCATTGTTAGGGTTAGTCAACCCAGGATAGGTCTGGGTAACTCAGGAAAGGTTGATCTCGCTTCGTGATACAGGCCCCAGGTGCAGCTGGAAAATAATCTGTTGATGCGCTGGAGTCACCGAAGGCTCATAACAAGACACTTCAGCATTAAACTGCTGGAAAGAACCACAGAACACAGAGGAAAAGGGCTGTGGCTTTTGCTTAAATGACCAGAATGCATTTTGCTGCACCAGACCAATAAATGCGACTGCTTGTGAAAGACATATGTAAGCTTGGCCGTTTTTTCCACAGGAAACAGTATTGCAGTCTACTGGTAACAATATCGAATTACATTACAGTAAGGGAAAAATGTTAAATAGGCAACACAATAACAGAATCTTGGTTCATATTTGTTCAGCACTGCTTAGTTTTACCATTTGATTTTAAGTTTCTCAGCCCCCATTTTTACAATACAGGAAACAGTATAGTGCCCACTTCCTGTTTACAAATTCTCATATTACAGTCAAACAGTGCACTAAATATGTTTCTAAAGACATTTTAGGCGAGAAAATGTATTGGAGTAACAAGATATTGGATTATATACGATCAGCACTGCCTGCTTCTATCGTTTGATCTGAGATTGACACAGAAAGACAGGGGCAGTTCTCTCTTTCGATCTGCTTCTATACTCTTTGTGTCTGTGGTGGGGCGCGTATGAAAATGTGGAAGCACAATCTGTAGTTCGAGCCCCGGCCTTGAGCTAGAGAAAAGCAGATTTGAGCTGAGAGATGAGCAGGGAGATCTGGGTGCTGTTTACCACAGTACATTTACACACACTACTCACAGTGTTGTGATACAAAGCTGGTTCACACAGTTGGCAAAGTGTCCCGTTAATCTTCCTAAACTGAAACCTGTTCATCAGCTGACAAGATTTCCGATGATCCATTAGGTGTGCCCATAGTCTTCAATATAATCTACACCTGTTTAGCACTGATGTGAATAGAGAGGGCAAGTGAAGGCTCTTTTGTAACTGAAGTAGACACGGTGCAGCTGGCTAAGGAGGGTGGTTTAATCCAGGTGAAATAATAGTTCGGACCTGTGTGTAATTGACAGAGTGAAAAATTGAATTTCCCCTTGGGGATTAATAAAGTATATTTAAAAAAAAATACTTCCATTAGCTTGGTCAGATTATGTTTTCGCCTCAAATGAACTGCACAACAGTTCATTTGTTGTCACCAAGATCTCAGTCCGATTGTTTTGGTCCGCACCTGTTTGTGTCCTGTAAGATTATAAGTGTGGTTGCTGTGTTCACACCTGCCCAAGACCTGCACCAAGGGGGTCACGCTCCAGTGTTTGATACAACTAAGCTAAACAAAGCAGGTGTAAAAACGCCCCTGAGATTATTGGAAACCTGGAAAAAGCTCTGATCACTGTTCTCCCTGAGCTTAGGTTGTCACTTTTTCCTGTCTGACCATCTCTCTCTTTCCCTCTGTCTTTTCCTCCACAGAGTACATCCAGAAATATGCAACAGAGGAGGCTCTGAAGGAGCAGGAAGAGGGGGCAGGCGACTCTTCATCTGAAAGCTCCATGTCTGATTTCTCAGAAGACGAGGCCCAGGACATGGAGTTGTAGTGATAGGAGGGCTCCCCCATCCCGCCTCCTCCTTTAACCCCCACAGAGACTATATTTGATTTCCTAACCATGAGAAAGCAGACTTATAATATTCATATTTAAACAAGTTGATTTTTTTATTATTATTATTACTACTAAACAAGGATTTTTATGGATATCTAGCCTTTGGTGTGTTTGACAGACACCCCTCCCATTCTGTAGCTGTTCCTCCCTGCACAGATGTCACGATTGCTTTCACACTTCTCTCCCTGTCATCTCTGCATTTTTAAGGTGTGTCACGTAGGCATAGGCAGGAAATCTCCCTGTGAGCATCTCATTTCTCGACTCAGATTTCATTTTTTGAAATATAACTTTGCAGTTTGACCGGAATCCTTATTCCCTTTCTTTTTCCACACTGCTAAATGATTCTGACCAACATTTTGTTCGTTGCTCCACGACAGCTGCTTTGGTCTTGCTTGCCTGGGTGCGCAGCCGTTCAGTATTATTAGTGTTTTTGAGGTGCACAATCACACACAAGGTGACATAGCACACCTTGTATGAAAATACTGAAAAGATGCTCATAAATCAGCCCTGGATGCTGCCTAAGCATTTCTCTTTCAACTATTTATTGAGACAATTTAGTAAAAATATATGCCTTTCTTTCTGGTTCAGTTTGGATCCTACCTTGGCATGTTACGTAAAGTTTTTGTTACTCTTCACTGCAGCTACCCGTTTACATGTGCCGCTATGAAGTGCAAAATAAATACGAGGTCAGGTCTTGGAAAATTAATGAATGAAATACATGTCTCGTTACAGGGTGAGTGACAGTGAGGTGAGAAAGACATGTTGGGCGCTTTCAGTGTTGATTTGTGGACCTAGCTGTATAACTGTGTGGAGGACTGGTGCACGAAGGCAACAAAGATGAAAGTGGCGTTTGTGGAAATTCTGGTCAGACTCACTTGGCGTGATGGGAATTGGAAGTAGAACGGAGCTACCCTTTAACCATCTAACCATCATTTCTCGTGCAGCTCGCACTAGTTTTCCGTCAGGAGGCACATCAAACACATGAGCACCAAACATTCTCATTGTGCTGGATGCCACTGGCGCTCACTCATCGGCTTTACAAACAAATTTCTATGAGTATTATCAGTCGAGAAGACTTTTCAGGTAGAGAACGAATGTAATTGTCACCTATTCTGGTGAGTTTAGAGAACCAGCACCATTAGTTTCAATTTTAGTGAAAAGCAACAAACATGGTCACATGGTTATCGAGTGGATCCCAGTATATATGAAGCGTTTTTATGGCAGATTCCGGTTTGTGTAGTATCGGTCATCCTCACATTCCACTATTACTTGGACTGTGCTCCAGTGCATGCCCTTCATATTGGTCTGACCTGTGGTGTGTACCCCGACTGCATCAACTGGACTCCCGACACTTTACGATCTCTATTTGGATCAGTAGTTTGAAGATGACAAAATAAGAGCCCAAGTAGTAGCAATTTTCGTTGAGGGGAATTAATTTCATCTGTACAGTTTTGACTTGTTATGGAAAAAGAAAAGCTCTGGTGTTACTCATTGTTGATTCAATTTGGTGGGTTAAGATGTAAATCCATGACGTGTGGAAAGAGAATCCAATCGCAACTTTGACCTTTAGCTGTTTTTTTCCTTCTTTTATTTCCTGTACTGTTTTTTTGCCCGATGGGGGGGTCAACACATTTTTTTTTTCTTTTTTTTCTTTTTTGTGTACAGCATCTACCTTGTACAGTGATAAAAACACCTCTCTGTAGCCTCATGAAAACTCAGCGTTGAACCCTGAAATGCTGAGCGAGTGTTGCTTGTCGAGGCTAACGCGGCAGTCAAACTACCTAGAAAACCTTGAAATGTATTCACTTCATAGATTGCAGTAGGAGTCACTGGTTGCTTTGTGGCAGATTTTTGGATTCCTGAGCGGGAGATTCAAAGCTGAATTATAACTCGGGAGGTCACCTTCTTATCCCTCTTCTGATCTCAACTCCCTCTTCTGTGCCTCATCACGAAAGGAAAGGATGACCGTATGAAGAAGTCCCCCAAAAATATGTGTCCAAAAAAGCCATGAAGGTCAAAAATTAGAAAAGCACATTGTTTTCTACACAGACTGTTTTGACTCTCCTCTTTCTGCAATGTGCAATTTGTGATTTGGCATCTAAATGTTCACTCTGTTGCAGATCTGGGGCCCAGGGCTGAGTGGCATCGGGTTTATTTGAGCTAATGTAGGATTGTTAGACTTTTCTGGCTCAGGTTTGAAATAAAGTTTGGTCGTATCTTGCATAGTGATGAGCATTTTTCACCCGGGTCGTTTTGAAAGGATGGGAATCATGCCGATATTTGTTGAACTGTGTTTTTGACAGGATAGTTAGTTTTGCTGGGTGTTGACTTCAACTAAAACAACATAATGCTATATGGCTGTATTACAGATAGAGTTAGATAGTTTGGTATACTTACCTGGTAAAGCATTAATTGCTCATCTGATTTTTAGTTAGTGTCTGTTGTGTGGTTAAATGTAAGATACTCCATAGACATGCCTGCTTGTCCTCTTCTCACAGATTCAGAGTTGTACAGATGAGAGATTTCAAACTAGGGAGATGTTTGACCTGTAGTGAGCCTGATAGATCTAACTGTACAGAAATCAAAACGTGTGGTTCAGCCCTTTTCGAGTGATCGGATTTTCTCCAAAAAATATGATTTAAAACACAATTCTGTGCTCGTAATTTTCACCACATTAGAATGCCGATTTAGAACAGAAGCTTAATTTGTTTTTAATTTCCAATATTTATCCGGGGATAATATCGGGCTGATGAATTCTCTCATTCAGCCTGAGGAGGTTTTTGTACGAGGGAGAATTAGTGCCATGTTGAAGAAAAAAAAATCTTTGATTTCAAGAATAAAGTCGTGATTTTGAGGGGGGAAAACTCATAATATTACAAGAATAAAGTCGGAATTTAACAAGAATCAAGTCATACTATTTCAAGAAAAAAAATTGGAATGTTATAAGAATAAAGTCGGAATATTACAAGAATAAAGATGGAATTTTCGAGAATAAAGTCACATTATCTCAAGAAAAAAATTCGTATTATTACAAGAATAAAGTTGGAATTTAACAAGAATAAAGTCATGTTATTTCAAGAAAAAAAAATCGTAATATTACAAGAATAAAGCCGTAATTTAACGAGAATAAAGTCAAATAATTGTGTGATTAAACTTGTAAATTGAAAAGAGAAAAATTCGCAAAAAATGCCAGAAAGTCACGTGAAATTATAGAAAGAGCGGCAAAGTCCCAACAGGGAAGAAGATGTGTTTTATCTTGAAATACTATGATTATATTTTCATTAAATTACGACTTCCATCCATCCATGCATTTTCTAACCGCTTCATCCTCTTGAGGGTTGTGGGGGGCTGGAGCCTATCCCAGCTTAAATTACGACTTTATTCTTGTAATATTATTATTTTCTCCTCACAATTATGCCTTTATCCTTGAAATTTAGGATTTTTTCCCCTTCAATGTGGCCCTCATCCATCCTTTAATGTTTGAATGTTAGCTCGGGGTTGGCTTCCAGCAGGACGCCGCCATTTTAACTGTTGCAGAGCTAACTGTTGTGATATCCAACATGTCTGAGGCAGTATAAAGCTATGTGAATGTTTTAAACGTGTTCAGTTTGTGGTGACGATCCGCATCCACGCAAACAGAACAAACCTGTCTGCAGATCCCCACTCTCACTATTGGCTTGTGTTTTCTCCTTCAGCTGCCTATAGATGTTTATTTATTCATTAAAGAGACCTCCTATTTTTTTTTTTTTTTTAATCTTTGCCATCAAGCGCCACTGTTGTAAGTTATGGTTCAGCTAAATTATCACACTGATGAGACAAGATAGATCGAGGTTGTTGTTTTTTTTGTTTCAAGTAACTCAGATTGGAATTCTTGTTTTACATTTGTGCAGTATTGTACTTGAGTGCTGAAAATACAGTATATCCAAGCTGAGAATTGTAATAAAATAGCACATTATGATGCAATGGTGCAACAGGGAACTAATGATTTTTTATTTTTATCTTTTTTTTGGTTTAGGGTAAAAATCATAGGTTTGGTTTTCAGCATTATTTGCATCTGCTGGGCAATAAATTAATGACATACTCAGCTGTGGCCTGGTGTTGCTCTGGTAAACATGACAACCATCTGATCTCTTCAGTGGCCTCCATTGTTCTCTCTCTGTTTTGTTTTTTTTTTTTACTTGCCACAGATTACATATTCAAGGTCAAGAGAGATAATTACTGCCTTTGTGTTTCAGGTTGTCTTTAACTTGAGTCAAGAACTACAGAAAATGTCCTCAAACCAGTGAATGATTTTGCTTCCATTGCAACTTGAATTCTAAATTATTTTTTCTGAAGAAAACTATGGGAAAACATGTTTATTGTGCTTTTATTTAATTTCCTTTTGGCTTTCTCCCCTCCTCCTCCTCCTGTCATGCTCGAAGACCACTGGTGTACAGATAACACTGTCTTAACTACACAGTTTAAACGGCGACTCCAGACAACCACATTATGACGAGGCCTCAAATTTCAAACTGCAATCCTGCAGTGAAGGTCCAGCCCAGAGCCATAGCCCCCCCACAACCGTACTGTCACACTCCCCCACACCCTGCCGGACACAACAAGGATGAAGGGCCTCCACTAAGCGAATGGACTGGTCTATCATTAATCCATAGACAGGACGTCCAGGGCCCGTCCTCCGTCTTATCAGCACAGCCTCAGAGAGCCAGCACCCTGATCCTGTAATATCACCTCCCCCCCACGTGTGTTGACTGTGTCTCCTTGTGCACTTGCATGCTTCTGGTGTGGGGTCGAGGCTCGCTTGGTGCACACCTCCCATTCTGTCTTGTGCTCGTGTGGATTTGTGCCCTGGCGCCGGCCGACTGCTGCCGTCAGGGGATCTAGCAGACACACACAGCATGGAAAATGGCAGTTTTAAAAAAAGAAAAAATAGAAACTATGTATTTGTTACCTAGTGTGTGATACTTGAGGGTTAAAAAGTCAAAAGGTTTTTTTTTTTTTGGTTTCGAAATGTCCATCCTTGGTCTTATTTTTATCACCCTTTTTGACCTCTTGTTTTTTTTGTTTTTTTTTGCATTGTGAAGTGGGCATGCTTGTCAGAAAGACAAATGCTCTCTATTAATAGGCTTATAACCTCATAAATAGTTGTGTATAAAATAAACTGTTATAACTTCTTTTTTAATAAAACATTCAATGTGTATAAAAGGTCCTTGTGTGGGGCTGATGATTCTCATGTTACTCCTAAGATGCACAGTGTGACCTGTTACATGCTCAGGAGTTCATTGCAGACAACAATAGATGTTGAATATTTGTATATGATTTCCAAATGCATCAAATGTATTTTTTTATGCAGAAAATTACTTTACAAGAGATCTAACTTACCATTTCGATGTTCTGAACTTTAAAGGGCCACCCCACCAAAATTAATAATTGTAGTCTGTTATTTCCATGGCCTTGGGATGTTCAATTAGTGAACATCAGCTTCTCTCCCTGAAAGCCAGAAACCGGAGAAGTAAGTCTCAAACTTGTGATGTCATCACGTACAAAGTCCAGAGCGGCTCTATAGACAATGAATGGGAGACATTCCTCTGGGGGCTCTTAACGTCATCAAGAACATGTTTGGAATCACGTGACTATTCTAACGTTATTGTTACATGGTGAGTTGATGAAAGTGCACTAGAGTCTAATGGACTAGTAATGTTTTGTGTGTAGTTGAATCTACGACCCAAACAACTGCCATCTTGTTTTTGCCTTGGTGAGTAAATGTGCTTCAGTAGAACGGTCTTTTATATTTTTTAACTATTGGTGTGTCTCAAATCAGATACCTCCATTAGTATACTTCTATGTAGTACAGTACAGGCCAAAAGTTTGGACACACCTTCTCATTCAATGCGTTTTCTTTATTTTCATGACTATTTACATTGTAGATTCTCACTGAAGGCATCAAAACTATGAACGAACACATGTGGAGTTATTTACTTAACAAAAAAAGGTGAAATAACTGAAAACATGTTTTATATTCTAGTTTCTTCAAAATAGGCACCCTTTGCTCTGATTACTGCTTTGCACACTCTTGGCATTCTCTCTATGAGCTTCAAGAGGTAGTCACCTGAAATGGTTTTCCAACAGTCTTGAAGGAGTTCCCAGAGGTGTTTAGCACTTGTTGGCCCCTTTGCCTTCACTTTGCTGTCCAGTTCACCCCAAACCATCTCGATTGGGTTCAGGTCCGGTGACTGTGGAGGCCAGGTCATCTGCCGCAGCACTCCATCACTCTCCTTCTTGGTCAAATAGCCCTTACACAGCCTGGAGGTGTGTTTGGGGTCATTGTCCTGTTGAAAAATAAATGATGGTCCAACTAAACGCAAACCGGATGGGATGGCATGTCGCTGCAGGATGCTGCGGTAGCCATGCTGGTTCAGTGTGCCTTCAATTTTGAATAAATCCCCAACAGTGTCACCAGCAAAACACCCCCACACCATCACACCTCCTCCTCCATGCTTCACAGTGGGAACCAGGCATGTGGAATCCATCTGTTCACCTTTTCTGCGTCTCACAAAGACACGGCGGTTGGAACCAAAGATCTCAAATTTGGACTCATCAGACCAAAGCACAGATTTCCACTGGTCTAATGTCCATTCCTTGTGTTTCTTGGCCCAAACAAATCTCTTCTGCTTGTTGCCTCTCCTTAGCAGTGGTTTCCTAGCAGCTATTTGACCATGAAGGCCTGATTCGCGCAGTCTCCTCTTAACAGTTGTTCTAGAGATGGGTCTGCTGCTAGAACTCTGTGTGGCATTCATCTGGTCTCTGATCTGAGCTGCTGTTAACTTGCGATTTCTGAGGCTGGTGACTCGGATGAACTTATCCTCAGAAGCAGAGGTGACTCTTGGTCTTCCTTTCCTGGGTCGGTCCTCATGTGTGCCAGTTTCGTTGTAGCGCTTGATGGTTTTTGCGACTCCACTTGGGGACACATTTAAAGTTTTTGCAATTTTCTGGACTGACTGACCTTCATTTCTTAAAGTAATGATGGCCACTCGTTTTTCTTTAGTTAGCTGATTGGTTCTTGCCATAATATGAATTTTAACAGTTGTCCAATAGGGCTGTCGGCTGTGTATTAACCTGACTTTTGCACAACACAACTGATGGTCCCAACCCCATTGATAAAGCAAGAAATTCCACTAATTAACCCTGATAAGGCACACCTGTGAAGTGGAAACCATTTCAGGTGACTACCTCTTGAAGCTCATGGAGAGAATGCCAAGAGTGTGCAAAGCAGTAATCAGAGCAAAGGGTGGCTATTTTGAAGAAACTAGAATATAAAACATGTTTTCAGTTATTTCACCTTTTTTTGTTAAGTACATAACTCCACATGTGTTTGTTCATAGTTTTGATGCCTTCAGTGAGAATCTACAATTTAAATAGTCATGAAAATAAAGAAAACGCATTGAATGAGAAGGTGTGTCCAAACTTTTGGCCTGTACTGTATATTATGTGCACTATGTACTCATTGGCGTAGTGCGCTAATTTCGACAGGGTAGTTTTGTCTCAAACCAAACACGGCCGTTATGCACTCAGTGGAAATGAGGACCGCAAATTAGCTAGTTAGCAAACTAGCATCCGCGTTATCGTTTGCGGTACCAAATCATTACAGATTGCTAAATTAACCCAGTAAACACTGCTGGCTCATACCCGACAACAGTATAGTGGTGCTTAGTGCAAAAAACACATGTATTTATACAATGCAGTGACGTTCACGGTCGCACAGTCCTCAGCCCTATTTCCAGTTTGAAAAGTGGTCCCGCCCCTTCCGCTACAAAGCCAAGATGGCGACCATTAAGGGCGAGAAGTGTTCATAATTCCACACTCAACTTCTTGACCGTTTTGAGCGCACCATCTGGGTACTCATAGTGCACTGCATTTTTCCATACTTCTCAGTGTGAACGCACTTATGCACTCAAAATAGTAAGTGTAAGTACATAAGTATGCGATTTGAGACACCACATGAATACACTGCTGCTTGGTTAACGTTAGCTAACTTCACGTTCAACCATTTTCTTCCTACTAGATCGACCATTGCCAAAGGTTTGGTGACATGGCGTTAAAACTGCCTCATTTGGGAGAGATTTTGGAGGCACCTGGAAAAATTACATTTTGTACGCCCTAATCAAAACTCAAAAACGGCAGTGACATGTAAATGTGTCTGTGTTATACTGTATATTATGTGTTGAGAATCCATGTGTGTGTGGCAAATGTATCTGTGGGGTATGTGTATGTATGTCGGGTTGGCACTCAAGATGTACAGAAGCGTGAAGAAAATTTTCCTAATAGGACAAATAAACTAATCTAATCTTAACATTGCGGTCTTTAATGAGAGGGGTAACGTTAGTTCTGTTAGCTTGCTTCATGTTAGCTGGCAGGGAGATATCGTTGGTTACAGACTTTTATATCTATAAATTCAATATTTCAATGTCTTAAAATCAACAATGAATAAATATGTTAGTCACGTTAGAAAAGGAGGTCAACTTCATTATGAACGACTTCTGTACAGAGATTTCTTTTCAGCCATATAGCAGTTAAACTAAGCTAACGGTTAACGTTACTTTAAGTTAGCTGTAAGTTCACTTTAAGTCAAATCTTATTTATTTCTTCCTGTAAGCAGTGATCTCCTTTTTGGCCAGAACAGACATATTGCCATATTTTTTGTATTTCTTGGATTGACCTCTTCACCAGACTTCTTGAAATAATTTTTGTTGCAGTTTCCTCCCGCATTCATTGCTTCATATTTAGCCTACTGTTATGTTCGGATCAAATTTACTTTTCTTTTAAGGAATTCCCCGAAAAGTATTATTTTTCTTCTTCTGACCAATTTGGTTTTCGTGTCTTCTTATCTTCTTATTTTTTATTTACAATCAGGCCAACTTCATGACATGATACTTTGGTGTGACGAATAGGCTATCACAAGCACACATTCAAGCAAACTAATGGTCTCTATCGAGACTGCTGTAAAATCTCTTTCAGTGCAGTTAATGCCTTAATGTCTTTCCTTGTCTACGGAAACCCTTTAAGAGATTCTGTGCAACACCGTTAAGTAATATCAGCTAAGGAAAAACTAAACCTTAAGTGTCATACTTAAGGAGCAAACAAAGTGCTTTGCGCAACCAGCCCCAAGTTGTGTCATAAGAAATTGTCACAGCACATTGTATTTGCATCCAACTCTAGGCATGATTGACACAATGCTTTAAAGGTATGGTTCGGATTTTTGGAAGTGGGGTTGTATGGGGTACAAGTGTATTACCTACAGTAGATATCAGTCGGCACGCCTCCGGTTTGGGGAAGCAGATAGGAGTCTGACATTAAAGCTAAGCAATCCACTGCTGTGGATGTGGGTCAGCAACAAAATGTATTGTAGCCACTTAAATAAAGTTCCACCTAAAAAAGACGATCAGTTTAAGGGAACGCTATACTGAGAGTATTTTCACCACTGAACACAGGAGCTGCTGGTCTACAGGTGCCTTGAACTGTTATTTTTGTTTCTGTTATTATGTCACTTTGGTGAAGCTGAATGAACCATCTTTCACCAAAATGCTGACAGTCAACTACTGTATGTAACTGACTATGGATAAGTATCCCATACAACCCTACTTCCAAAAAAATTCTACTATCCCTTTAACATACATGTTTAAAATTGGTTGGAGATGGATGTTTTTGATCCACATCTGCCCCTGTTTCTCAGTGACTTTCTTTTTTACTTCTCCTGTTCACATCCTAGTTTTTTGGGACTTCAATTTGCCCTTGTTTTTTTCCCAATTGATCTATTGAAACAGCCGTAAACAGTGTAAATCACAGGCATTTGTGCGATGTAAGTAGTCTTTGCCTCCAGTTGAATGAATGCCTTTATTGTCATCGCATGTTCACATACAACAAAATTTGCTGTCTCTCACAAAAGACAAACTGTCCCATTCACTCTGCCCAAACACACACTCATATACCCACGTTAAAATTGGATAAGGCTAAAATATGATAAATTACGTGCTATAAAAGGACAAGATGAAGTGCATATGCAGTTATTGTACATCACTCTGTCGTAGTGCAATTTGAAATTGTTGCGCCTGCCCTCCATTTCAACAGTGCACCGATGTATGACATCATATGCAGACAGAGAAGCTGTTCATGTTAAGTCATATTTTTGCACTGTCTCAGACCAAATG